CCTCCGGAGGCTATCGTGGGGTCGAGCGGTCGAGCCGGCGGTAGCCGTGACATGTGGTTCCACCACCCCTCGCAGGCTTTGCCTCTGACCGCCACCGTTCCCAGGCTGCCTAATGGGATGGAAAGGAAGGTTGGGCGAGCGTATCGAAGCGTGCTCGACCTCGTCGTGGCAACCTGCACGGCAGCGCTGGTAGGCGCGATGAGCGTCGTGCCACCTGACCAAGACGGGTCGCAGGCGTCGTACCGAGCGTGTCGAGACCGTGTCCTGATGTGATCTGTACCTTGCATGGCTGCGCTCCCGGCGTCCCAGCCATCCTTAGCACGGATGGCTGCGAAACAGGGAGCGCAGCCATCCAAGGTACAGATCACATCAGGACACGGTCTCGACACGCTCGGTACGACGCCTGCGACCCGTCTTGGTCAGGTGGCACGACGCTCATCGCGCCTACCAGCGCTGCCGTGCAGGTTGCCACGACGAGGTCGAGCACGCTTCTATACGCTCGCCCAACCTTCCTTTCCATCCCATTAGGCAGCCTGGGAACGGTGGCGGTCAGAGGCAAAGCCTGCGAGGGGTGGTGGAACCACATGTCACGGCTACCGCCGGCTCGACCGCTCGACCCCACGATAGCCTCCGGAGGCTGACTTTGAGGCACAATCATCGGACGACGTCGGCGAGTTGAGTCGCGCTCGCGGTAGCCAGATGACCTCTCATACTAGTATCATCGGCCATGGCCGCAGGAAGCGCGGGGGATTCCGCTGGGAGCAACACGGAGCTCCGTTGGACGCGTTTTCAAGATTAGCGTGTCAGAGTGAATTGGAACTAGCCAGAGAGAAGCCCCACCCCTCCTCCGCGGCCTCTTCTTAGGCCAACATTTGCTGTTCTCTTTCCCTCAGTATATCTGTCTAGGTAGTACAGCCGACGGCGAAAATTAAAGATACGTTGCCATTGGCTCTCTCGCTAGCTGAAATCTTGCTCACCAAGAGCGTCTCAGCCAACCAGCGATCGGCCCGGGCTCGGAGGCGCCCGTGTAGCCAAATAGGGAGACCCCTGTGCGGGTGGCCGCCCGGCCCTGCGTGACAAGGACCTGCGCAACTTTCTCGGCGCCCGTGGTGCTCTCGAGCAGCGCCCGCAGCGCGGCCAGCGTCTCCGGGCGCAGCTCCGACTCGATCGCGGCCGCGCCGGTGCTGCCCGCGTTGCAGCGCGACGAGTTAGTCTTGCCCATCATGCAGCCCGTGCCCAGCTGGGCGGGCATGCTCAGGCCCAGCTTGTGCAGCACAGTGCGCGTGATGGCCTCGACACCACCCGGCGCGACGAGCGTGCCGTAGGGCACGAGCATGAACTGCGACGGTTCGAACGCCTGCTCCTCCAGCCACCACCGCAACTGCGGCGCGTAAAGACTGCCCGAGAAGGGCCCCCAGACGTTACCGCCGCAAGGGTCGCGCCCGGTCTGCAGTACCTCCTCAGCGTAGTCCTGTATGGTGCGCCCCGAGGTGCGCGACCACGCCTTGTTCCAGCCCGCACGGATCCAGTTGTAAAAGGCCGACTGGAGCCGGCCTAGCGGCTCTCGCAGCAACACAATGAAGTGCAGCCGCTGCGAGCACGAGCTCAGCGGGCAGAGCTGCGGCGTGTACTGCTTTGCGATGGCACTGGGCGCCCGCTTGAGGTACAGGATAGGCGTGGCGTCGAAGGATACGGCGCGCTTCTGTTCAGCGCTGCAATTGGGGTAGCCGGAGAGCCACCAGCTCCGGCCGAACCGTTGAATTGAGCCGTCGAAGACGTGCGGCTCCTTTTGGTGCCCCTTGTCCTTGGCCGCGAAATGCATCATACCGGGAATGCGGTAGAGCGTGCTCGCGAACAGCGTCGTTGCCGACTTCTGCGCGCCCAGAAGGAAGAGCTGCGGCGCGAGACGGCCGTCCATGCACAGATTCGCAGTCGCACTGCTGGTGCCAGTGGATCGGGCGACTATGCCGGTGGATCGGGCGACTAGCTCGCCGGACGGTGCTTGCCAAGCCGAGGGTGAAGTAGCAGCAGCGTCGACCTCGGCATGCCCGTTGAACGCCGCGAGCTTCAGACGCCCATCGAGCGCTGAATGCCCGGGCTTGGGTCTGCTGCACGCCGTGAGGGTGGAGAGGTGCCGCCGCCCACGGTTGTTACTGCAGATGGGCTCGCCCGACGCGACAGCACGTTGCAGGCGCAGCCAGCCAGCACTGCTGCTATTGTGGTGCTTACCATCGAGCTGTTTGTACACGTGCAATAGCCACACGGGGCACTGATCGCGGACGGCGGGCGGTGGTATGCGCAGTATGTGCACGGCCTCGGGCAGTGCGTCCAGCAGCAGCGCCCCGAATGGCGAGTAGTTGTCCATGTGCCTCTTGCCATGTGGAGCGATGTCATTCTCCACGATCATGCGCCGCACCGCCCCTGCGACGCCCTCGTCCTGAGACCCGTCGCCGTTTGGCGGGTACCTCTCCAGCAGCCGCTGCCGCATCGCCTTGAAGGCAGCGCGGGGGTAGAGTAGGCGGCCCAACAGCGTGTAGTCGGTGGCTTTGTCTGCAACGAGCCGCATTGAGGGCGCGTTCGCCCTTTCGACGTGGGGTGGGAGCGACGAGAAGGGGCGCGTGACTAGGTAGGGTCGGCCGGACGGGTCGACGAGGTCGGCGAGGGTGACCCCCTCGCAAAGCAGCATATCGCCGTCCATGAACATGACATTCGGTGCGCTTCCGGCGGTGGCGAGGTCGGCGTTGATGTAATCGTAGAACATTGGGAGCCCGTCTGCCATCGTTGTCGTGGACACCACACGAACCCAGCCGTCCAGCTCTGGTAGCCCTTCCAGCATCTCTGCAAACTCGGCAAAATCTTCTGCGGCAATGCCGAGGACAATCTCGCCCACAAACTCGGCCCCATATGCGCGCAGCGAGCGCAGCGTCGACTGAAGGATGCCGAGCCGGATGTCACGCCAGTAGGTGCGAATGTACACGTCGACCGCTCCTGTGCGAGCCTCGCGTGCCAGGCCCTGCTCGCAGCGAGTAATGGATGTCAGCCAGGTCAGTGCTTCTGGACATCTCCAGGTGCCGGAGCCGTCCTGGTTGCGGCATCGCACACCACGCTCCGGTGACAGCTCCGGCGCCCAGCCAGGAGCGCACTTCACCGCGGCAAATGCAAGCAGGCTGAAGCCCAGCATGCACACCACCGTTAGTTAGTGGGGGGCACGTCGACAAGGAACTGTGCTGCGAAGAAAAAAGACGGGACCTCTTCCCCCACTGGTCGCTCGCCCCATCTACAGATGATATGCGCATCCTAGATGCCAAACGCCATCTAGGATGCGTTTTCCATCTAAGCACTAAGGATAATCTCCGGAAGATTTAATCATCTTTACCGATGGCGTGCCCCCCGCGTCTTTTGATAGCCTCTCCCGTGGTGACATCTCAGATGTCGCCGCCCCCGACTTAACCGTTTGTTTGGGGCCCACCGCTGTGTTCTCTCAGTACGTTATGCATGTAGCGATGTAGGTCTTTTCACAAAACTCAAAAGACCGCGAAATTAGCTGTATGTGTTGCAATAGAGCTTAGAGGGCCGTGTACTCAATAGAGCGGGTTGCGCGGACTCGAACATCTTGTAGTCAACACCAACCTCTAGACCTGCTACACCGCGACTCCCGCCTGGCGCGGCGCCTCAAACAGCAGCGCGATCAGCCGGTCCACTTGCTGCAGAAGCCTTCCCTCAGCGGCGACCCCTGTGCTCTCGTTCGCCGCCGCCACCGCCGCAGAGAGCGAGGAGCGCGCGTCCAGCCCCAAATGCGCACAGACCCGCGAGACTTTCTGGCGCCGTGGAAGGTGCCTCCGACGCCTCCTCCCACAGCGTTGTTTGCGGTTGCCGGTGGCGGGGCGGCCGGTGGGGGTCCTAGCTCGAGCGCCGCGAGTCGCATGGTGAGCGCCTCCTCGCGTGCCGTCGCTGCCTCCGCCTCTGCCCTCGCCGCCTCCTCCCGCCCCCTTGCTTCCCCCTCTCGCCCCCTCGCCTCCTCCTCCCTCGCCCTCGCCGCCTCCGCCTGCAACCTCGCCTCTGTTCTAGTGCTCCACGCACCGTCGGGTGCGTGGGCGGTAAGGAGGAGCCGCGCGGCGCGCGCGGCCTTGGTGACTGACAAAAGTTGTTCAGGAATAGACTACAACACTTCGGCGACCGTCGGCGCGCCGATACGCCCGAAATAGCGATGCAATCGAATAACGTAATATCTCGGAGTTGGAGTGTGTGAATGCGCACTCGCGCATTCGATCATGGAGAGGCACGCCCCTCGCTGGGCGTCACACTATGTTCCGCCTCTGACCTCGCCCGTTCCGCCTCTGAGACCCCAACGTCGCCTCGCGAGCCCTCGCCGCCGCCGTGTCTGGGAACCTAACGTAGCCTGGGAGAGCGCCTGCTCGATCGCCGACCGCGTGCTGGACTGCTCAGCCTGCGTCGTCCTGTGTATCTGTATCGGCTGCCCTTAAATTCCATATGAGTAGAGCCGACTGCGGAGGTGAACCGGACCCCCCGTCTCCGGTCGACACACGACAGGCTTCCGAGCCTCTCACACAAAAACGCGGCGGGGGCCACAACGCTCAACTCTCGCCACGCGCCGCCTTGGCCGCCGCCACCGCCTCGTCGATCGCCTTGAACTGCTCGTCGAACCGCGCATTCTGCAGGAAGGGGCGCAAGTCGAAGCGGTTGTCGTCGGGCGAGTAGCTCTCCGCGTGGTAGGACGGCGTGAGCGTCGTCATCTTGTGCCTGCAGGTAGAGACAGCCGAGATGGAGCCGAGACACAGCCGAGAGGTAGCCGGGCGCCGCCCTCTTGTGCCGGTTGATCGCGTGGTAAAAGTAAAAGTCCTTGACCTTCTGCGCGACCTGCTCGTCAAACGTGACCGGCGCGGCGGCGCCCCTCGCGCGGATGGACGGCGTGAGCGCGCGTCCGTCGGCCCAGCGGTCGCGCAGCTTGAGGAAGGTCGAGAGCGGCCCGCACCGCTCGACCTGGTGGGTGGGCGGCACGAGGGCCGGGCGGCCCCTCGGGTGGTTGTGGGAAGGGGGGCGGGGGCGGGGCGGGGGCGGGGCGGGGGCGGGGCGGGGGCGGAGGCGGGGCGGAGGCGGGGGCGGGATGTGTGTGTGGGGGGGGGGGGGGCGGTGCGTCGCAGCGGCGAAGTGCGAGCGAGGGCGGGCGAAGTGCGAGCAGCGGCGGCTTTGCCTTGCGGCAATAGCCCAGCGCGGCCAGCTCGTCGTACGACATGCCCATGTCCTCCTCGTCGAGCTGCGCGCCTGCATCAGTCAGCCCCCGCACCGGCTCAACGCGTCCCCCCATTACGCCCACGCCCCCCCCCCCTTCAGAGCTGCGCGCCTTCGGCGCCCGTCAGCTCGGCGCTGGGGGGCGCGTCGGCGACGCGCGCGAGCACCCCGATCCCTCGCTCGCGTCCGGCCCACTCGAGGAATGCCTGGTTAGAGACGCAAGGTTGGAGACGCAAGGTTGGAGTTGCCAGAGGGCAGTGAACAGACTGCAGCCAGCTCCTCATCCGCACGCTCGAGGGGGCGCCTTGAGGTCGCGCTCTCGGGTAATCTCGGGTAATCTCGGGCAGTCTCAGGTCATCTCGGGCAATCTCGGGCGTACCTTGAGGTCGCGCTTGTTGACGCCGCCGATCGGGTTCAGGTCTGCGGCCGAGCAGTCGTACTTTGTGTAGTAGCCGCGCAACGCCTCGTCGACGTTCGCGGATCCGAGCACGAGGAGCGAGCCGCCCGCCGTCGTCTCGTCGCCTGTGCACAGCTCACCTCTGCTGTCCTCTCTCCTGCACAAGCAGGGAGCCGCCCGCCGTCGTCTCGTCGCCGTCGGTCGCCCACGGCATCAGCTGCGCCATAAAGTACGCCATCACCATCCGGGAGCGGGCCTGTAGTCCCGGGGAATCTCGGGGAATCTCGGGTAATCTCGGGTAACCTCGGGTGAGTACACCATCACCATCCGGGAGCGGGCCTGGATGTGTTGCAGCGCCAAGCTCTAGGAAGTGCCTAGGGAGTGCCTAGGGAGTGCCTAGGAAGTGCCTAGGAAGTGCCTAGGAAGTGCCTAGGAAGTGCCTAGGAAGTGCCTAGGGAGTGCCTAGGGAGTGTCTAGGGAGTGCCTAGGGAGTGCCTAGGGAGTGTCTAGGAAGTGTCTAGGAAGTGCCTAGGAAGTGTCTAGGAAGTGCCTAGGAAGTGCCTGGATGTGCCTAGGGAGTGTCTAGGAAGTGCCTGGATGTTTTGCAGCGCCAGGTTCTGCGTGAGCTCGGCGTAGTCGCGCGGCTTGGTCTTCATCTCTGGCCGCCGCCTGACCGCCTACTCTCGGCTCCTCTCGGCTCCTCGGCTCCTCTCGGCTCCTCTCGGCTCCTCTCGGCTCCTCGGCTGCTCTCGGCTCCTCTCGACTCCTCGGCCCCTCTCGGCCCCTCTCGGCTCAGCTGCTCTACTTCTCAGCTTGAGCGCCTCGCTGCGCACGCCTCCCGAGTGCACCTCCATCGCCGCAAACGTCTCGCAGACGGCAGACCGCATGCCGTCGATGCTGATGGAGGTGTGCAGGCAGCCTATCTGCTCGGCGAGTAGCGCCGCGCGCGCCCGCGTCTCGGCGCCGGAGAACTCGGACGCCATGTAGCAAGTCACGAGCACCTAAGTCTCGGCTACTCTCGGCTAATCTCTGCTGATCTCGGACGCCGTGTAGCAAGTCGCGAGCACCTAGCCGCAACCGCAGGTCAGTCGGGCGGCGTGCGATGCTACGCCGAGAGGGGCCGAGAACAGCCGAGAACAGCCGAGAGGGGCCGAGAGGGGCCGAGAGGAGCCGAGAGGGAGCCGAGAGGGAGCCGAGATGAGCCGAGCTGAGCCGAGCTGAGCCGAGCTGAGCCGAGCTGAGCCGAGAGGAGCCGAGGCCGAGCTCACCTTGCCGCACAAGTCGCGCCAGTCGGGCGGCGTGTAGTCGGCCCGCTTGGTGACGCGCCGCACCTACTCTCGCCTCGCCTCGGATGGTCCTCGGCTCCCCTCGGGCCTGCAGCCGGTGTCGCTTGGTGAGACACGTCGGCGAGTACGCGCGACCGCGACCGCTCCGATCCCGCGCCCAGCTCCTCGACAACTCGCTGGCACATGATCGCCACCTTCCCACAAGCAACGACTCGGACTCAGGTCCGGATCAGGTCCGGAGGAGGGGACGGCTCTGCCCCACAGGGCCGCCACCAGAGCGGCGGTCGAGCTCGAGTCAGCGCCGCCCGAGAGGGGGAGGAAGTAGCCGCGCTGCCCCGAGCGGCGCAAGTAGTCCCACAGCCACCCCGACGGCCCAAGGGCGATCTCCTAGACTCTTCTCGAGCACCGGCTGAGACACCGTCCTCGCGCCCCTCGGCACGGCCCGGCAAACGTAGTGGCTTCGCTCTCCTCCATGGCGCTGTGCAGCCGCGGCGGCGAGGGGCGCGACGGCGCACTGCAGAGCTGGTCCGCGTACCTGCTCAGGATCCGCACCCCCGTGATCGGCCGTCTGGTTAGCGGGGCCCGGCACAGCTGGTCCGCGCACGGAAGCGTGAGCGCAAAGTCGACCTCGACGCGAGGGATCGAGGCGGCGGAGGCCGCCTGGACTGAATTGAGGAGGGATGGGCGCGGAGCTGACTACTCCATCGATGCCGCCGTGTTCCGCCTGGCTCGAGCGCGCTATGAAGCTCGCCCGGAAGGCGCGGACGTCCGACAGCGAGACTGTCGCGACGACCACCTCCACCTGCACCGACCGATGGCGAGTACTGAGGCGTTCATTCACTGAGTCAGAGTCGCGACGACCACGCTGCACCTCGTCCAGGCCCTCGAACTGCGACCCTACTTTATTTGGGTACTGGGTTTGGACCGGGTCGGTAGGGTACTGCACCCCCTCGAACGGGGAGCCCTGCGCGACGCACTCGCCGTTCACCCACGCCATCGCGCAGCCGTCGAAGTACAGCCGCCCGCCGTCGCAGCCCTTTTGGTTGGCGTAGAGGTAGACGCCGCCCGCCTAGCGGAGGCCGGGTCACTCTCGGGTGAGTCTCGGGCGATCTCGGGACGACCTCGGGTCGATCTCGGGCGATCTCGGGAGATCTCTCGGATGATCTCGAGTCAACCTCGGGTGAATCTCGGGCGATCTCGGGTCGATCTCGGGCGGCTCGCAGTGCCTTTGCGGTCGCGCCGCGCACGAGATCGATCCTACACGAAGCCTCCGAGAAGGGTCCGAGAAGGGTCCGAGAAGGGTCCGAGCCGGTGCGGCGACGCGCGCTCCTCGTCTGCAGCTTGCGGAGCTGGTGGTGTGAGCCGGAGCCGTTCGCGATGATCTCGACGCCGTCCAGAGAGAGGGCGATGTGCGGCGCGAGCGGCGTGAAGAGCTCCTGAGAGTATAGATGGCTGACAGTGAGGAGGAGGAGTGAGCATCGGAACAGGGATGGCGCGGCCAGAGGGGAAGAGCGCCTCGCAAGTCTCAAAGGCGAGGGCGGTGTCGAGCGCCTGAGAATAGGAAGGAGGAGGGTGGAAGACTCGGAGCCACGCATGGCCGTCAACGGCGAGTGTCGAGCGCCGCGACGGCGAAGATGCCGATTGGCACTGTCCGCTGGCCGGTCAACTCGCGGACGATGCGCGGCAGGTAGTACTGCTCGAGAGCGCCGTAGCCAGGAGAGGTGGGGTCGATGAACCAGGGCGTGAAGTACCGCATCTCGCGGTAGTTGCCGTCGTTGGCGAGGCACACCTTTGGCCGCACGCCCACCACGCGCCGGTTGAGCAGCACGACGCGGCAGTTGTACGAGACGTTCCGGTGCATCACCGGCATGCCGATGTCGCAGAGGATGCCGTCGGTGAGGTCTGAGGCGAGCAGCGCGGCTAGCGACTCCCACGCGTGCGCAAGCGTGTCCGCCTCGAGGAACGAGTCCTCGCACGAGTAGCCCGTCACCTCGAGCTCCGGCCCGGTGCGGAAGGTGCACCCTGCCGCCTTGGCCTCGCGGATGGACGCCTCGATCCGCTCCAGGTTGCCGCGGAAGTCCATCGCCCACTGGTTGAGGTTGCATGTGGCTAGTCGAGCGAGCGAGGACATGACCGACCGTCCCGCGGCCTTATCGCCCGGACAAGCGGCCGACGCTGCGCTTCGCGTGGGTTCTGCCCCTGAACTTGGTCGGTACTCGAGCCCGAGCCAGATTGTTCTTCCTTTCTACCTAACCTAACCTAGCGCCTCCTCCTCCGCCTCCTCCTCGCACCGCCAAAGCAAGCGCCGAGTCCGCGGTCGCCCGGCGACGCCGGCCGAAACGCCTTCGGGACGCGCTCGTCGAAGAGCTCGAGCCAGAGCCTCTCCATCGAGTGCGCCCAGGTGAGGGTGCCCACAGAGCCGCAAGCCCTCTCCACTGTAGCGACGCGGTGAATTTGCTCAAACGCCCACAGGGGCTGCGCGCGGATCTGGAAGCGCGAGGCGGCGAAGGTCGCCGCCCTTGGCCACGTCACGGTGCGGCTCCGCGCGCTCAGGTTTGTGGCCATCAGCCGCTCCTGCATCGCACTCATGGATTTGTACCAGTAGTAATTTCCCTGGCGGTAGCTGTTCTCGCGCAAGTAGTCGCACATGCAGCTGCGGCGGGAGAGGGGCCTGTCTGGGCCCCACAGCTTTTTCCACTCCCTGAGCTGCGGCCGGAGGATGTCCAGGTTGCCCCAGGGAGCCGGCCGCAGCTGAGTTCGGTCGTCCTGCAACGATCAGGCCGACGGTAACGTTGGGGTGTGGGGGCCGTGGGGGCCTGCGCGCGCGCCCATGACCTGCGAGAAGATGACCACGTTTGGCAGGTTCTCCCAAAAGTCGATCACGAACTGCAGGTAGCCAACGACCTCGCGTGAGCCTCCCTGCTTCCGCCCGGCCGCTTGCCCATAATTTGGAAGCACGGCAAAGTACTTGAGGACTGGCCGCTCTGCAGGCGGCCGCGGCCCGCAGGTGCAGCCACTCGGACAGCCTTGCGGTGGTCTGTGTATCTCCGCCCGCCGGCACTGATGCTTGATACGCAAGTGCGAGTCGACGTACGCCGGCGTCATCGGCTCGCTGCTCGTCGCCCCCGCCTCCTCCCTCCACCCCCGACGTACGGTGGTGAGATGGGAGCGGTTCCCGCTCAAGCGCGTGAGGTTCTGGCAGGCCCCGCTCGGCAGCCTCCGCAAACACGCCTGAGCTTCGGCCTTGGCCTCGTCCAAGTAGCCCTTGTGGTAGATGACGAGGTCGAGGATGCCGCCGGGCAGAGTGCGCAGCCAGTCGAGCGACGAACGGAAAGACACGATCACAAGTGTGGCATTCGTTCCCCACTGCACATCCCTCGGCCGGGTATGTTGCGGCCACGTGGGCCCCCAGCGATGCAGCAGATCGACGCGAGCCGGGGGCAGCGCGCGCGTGCGCTCGAGGCATCGGCTGTAGAGGACGCATCTGCCGACGCCAGGCGGAAGCTGCAGGGGCGGCTGCGGCGGCGGCGGCGGCGGCGGCGAGCGTATGGTGGTGCGACTCCGTCGGCTCTGCCTCGCCTCAGAATCCCCTGTTGGGTAGACGAACGCCGCAGCTCGGCAGAGGCTAGAGCTTGCGCACGCCGCCTCACAAGAGGTTCGCCTTACCCCCTCCACTGTCTGTATCACGGCGCCCGGCGACTTGGCGCACCCTGCTGCGGGTGTGTAGTCAAACTCTCCTTCTCCTGTCGAGCGCAGGCCAAGGCTGCCATTCGCCGTTATCAGCTCTGGCACCGGCTGACTTGGCACTGGCCGACTTGCTGCAGCCCAACGAGCCATTCAGTCTACTGTATTCAATCGCCGATGCGCCCGCGCAAGTTCGGCGCCGAATTCATAACTATTTGTTTCGGTTTTAGGTTTGTTGTTGGCAAATCAAGATACAGAGCTCACACAGAATCACAGCGGGAGGAAAGCGGCTAGTCGCAATTCCTGGGGTCCTTGTGGCGGGCTGCCACCCTGTCCAGAAAGGCACAGGTGCCAATCTGTCTGGGGTCTCTCGAGGGTCTCTCGACCGAGTCTATGAATTCATAACTATTGATGCGCGCGCGTTGCGCTGGGTTTCTGCGCATGGGATACGTGACGCCGCTTGGGGGGAGGATTGAGAGGACCAAGTTTAGGTAGCCTAGAAACCGGCCAAGACCTGGTCGGCGGGGTCGTCGTCCTCCCGGCCCGTTTGAGCGCGGAGGCTCAGAGCCGGAGGGTGGCTGGCTCATGTTCATGTAGGACAGTAAAGGACCAGAGACGCTGAGTTCACGCGAACGCTCGCAAGGGACGTAGGACCGTGACAAGATTGAGCACAAGCAAGGAAGCTCGAGTATTGACATTGGGGGCACGGCGCAGGATGCGCCGTGCTAGTACACCGTGTGTAGCGTGTGTGAAGGGTAGCACAGGCGTCCGAATTCAGACGCGGCCGGCTCCCTCGACGGGGGACTAGCACTAGCCGTCTTCGTTTCCACGTTGTCCCTTGGCGCTTGGGTCCCTGCTCGCTGCTGCTCCTAATCTCTTCGTACACCCACCTGCTGATCTCCGCAAAGTTCTGCTCCCTCCCTCGTGTCGCCCTGCCCCCTGCGCGTTTCCTCCGCTTCCCGGTCGTCTGTTCTGCGTTCCTCCCAGATACGGCGTGTCTCGATCGTTTGCAGCAGTGCACTGCGAGCACTTGGAGCGCGAAAAAGGTACACTGTATTTTTCTGGCGAAGCTGGAAGCGCTTTTCCCCCCTCCTGCTCAGACACTCACTCTCCTCTCTCTTCCCCCCTTTTTACCCCCCCCCCCCCCCCTTCCTCCTCACGCCCGCGCCGCCACCTGGCGGAGGTCAATCACGTGCACGTGCGGGTACTGTGGGTCGGTAGCGCGGAAGCCCCACCGCGTGTAGAGGCCTTCGATGCCAGAGGTGTCCCGGGCAAAGAGGTAGGGAGCGACCCCTGCGTAGCATTGCAGCCACTTGAGCATCAAGGTGATGAGGGCGGTGGCATATCCTTGCCTGCGGTGCGCCTCCGCAGTCTCGATCTCAAACAGCTCGAGGGTGCACGGCGAAGGCATCTGGCTGGCGTGCTCGTGCTCCAGCACGTCAGATGGGAAGCCGAGCGATGCGTACACGAGCGCAGTGGCTAGGACCTCGCCGCCTGCAGTTAGCGAAAAGGCGAGAGAGCCAAACGGCGTGGCGCCGATCGCGGGGCCAGCAGCGTGCTGCTTCCAGAGCCCGCTCGCCTCGTCAAACTCGGGCGCATCTGCCGTGAGCAGAGCCAGCTTGATCTGCGTGCCCACCTTCAGGCTGGGGTTCGCCTGTCCTCCCGCTCGTCGTCCGGCTCGGGTACTGCTGGCGCAGGCGATGAGGGTCAACCCGAGAACCTTCATTACCGCCTGGGCCGGGGCACGTGTCGTTTCTTTTCCGGAAATTTCCGGTATAAACACAAGTGTAGCTACACGTGGGGGAAAGCTCTTTAAAGCATATTGGCAACACCTACAGACACTACAACACAATGCGGAGGTGCCCCGGGCGGTAGCACGCGCCAAATCCAGCTGGCCCGGGCTAAACGGGTAACGGCGAGCCCGCCCCCAGGAAACGCTGCGCGGCCCCGCACCCCCCCCTCCGCGCCCGCTCCTGGCGGACGGCCGGTGCGTAATGTCTTGGAGCCTCTCCTCCTCCTCCTCCTCGGCCTCGCGGGTCTCCTCCGCCGAGAAGAAGATGGCCGCCTGCCTCGATGACTGGCGGCTCGAGGCTGCGAATGTCGGCGATGACGAGGCCCGAAGGTCTCAGCTCCGGGAGGCGCTAGAGGCGGATATCAAGGAGGAGCTACGGGCGACGGCGCAGCAGCGCAAGACTGGGAGCGATGCGACCGCCCGGCTGTACAAGGACGCGCAACGCCGGGCCAACAAGTCTCTGGCCGGCGCCGCGCCACCGGCCGGCACGCCCCCTTCCCCCAAGGACGCCGCGGCGCAGGCGCGCAGCGCGGCGCTCCTCTCCGAGATGGAGGCGCGCAAGCAGTCCGAGGCGCATTCGCTCAACCTCAAGTCGGGCTTGCGCGAGGTGCCCGCTCTCTACCGGGTGGGGCGGCCGGCGTCGCCGTTGCCAGACAAGAGCTACCAGGAGCTGCTGTACGAGGAGGGGATGCTGGGCAAGGAGGAGCGCGAGCGTTGGCGGAGCGAGTCGTGCACGCTGCTAAAGGCGTGCGAGCAGCGCGAGTGCACCTTCTCCCCCTCCATCAACGCCCACTCGCGCGCCCTCGCCAGCGGGACGCCGTCACTGCGGAGGCGTGCGGCAGAGGTGCTAGAGGAGCAGCGCGCGAGGCGGCAGCAGCTCGTGCACACTGTGGAGTTGGCGCAGCGGCCCGACCCGCCACGGTCGCAGCGGGGCGCATCGTCGCTCTCCGTTAGCAGCGGAGGGACGAGCGGCGGCCGCACGCACGAGCAGGTTGTGTCGGAGCTGGCGCGGCGCGGCGAGCAACTGGAGAGGAAGAAGCAGGAGGCGCGCGCCGCGGCCGAGGCTGAGGCGCGGGCTGGCGAGACCTTCTCGCCGGTGGTGAGGCCCCGCGCGCGGTCGGCCTCCGGCACAAAGGAAGGGACAGGAAGCGGGCAGGTGGCGGTGGGCGAGCGGCTCCACGCGCTGGCGCATGCTCCGCCCTCACCCGCCGCCACCACCAAGCCGCTCAAGGAGAATCGGCCGCTCAGCGCAAAGGGCGAGCAGCTGCTCGTTGACGCACTCTACGGCGACGCCGCCGAGCATCGCGCGCGGCGGGAGGCGAAGCAGCGCGAGGCGGAGGAGTCGCTGCAGGAGGAGCGCACGCGCTCGCGCCTCTCGTCGCGCTCTCGCCGACTCGCAAAGTCGCGGGGCACGCGTGAGATCGCGGCGCTGTACGCGGAGGCTGGCGCGTCCACGGCAGAGGGCGGCGGGCTCGACCTGCCGCAGTTCCTCGCGGTGCTCTGCAAGATGGGCCTCGCGCGCGCTGGCGCCTCGCGGCCCTCCACGCCTCTCACCTCGCGCAGCCCCGGCTCTCCGCAGCGCCGCCTGGCGGAGACGCCGCCAGCCTCCAGGAGCGGAGGACGGCAGGGAGAGGTTGCGCACGCCGCGGCCGCGCTCCCACGTCCTCGCGTCTTGGCCGCTAGGCGCGAGACAGCGTTGGCAACGCCGGTTGCCGTGACGGGGGAGCAGCGCGACGTGGCGGGCCAGCTGTGGCGCGCGCTCGCCTGCGGCGAGCGGGTGCCGCTGTCTCGCTTCGCGGCCTTCATGCTGGACGACCACCCGGTCGACGGCTTCTCTCCGGCGGCGCGCCGCTCGGCCTCCTGCGGCACAGAAGACTTGTCGCCGGCAGCGCGGCACGCCACCCTGTTTTCCGATAGGCGGCGATCTCGCTCAAGCAGCAGTCCCTCGCGGCCAAGCGGATTGGTCAGGTCAAGGAGGGCGCGCTCCCGAGCCCCGAGGAGCCAACCTTCACGCCGCAGACGAGGCGCTCTGCCAAGGGCGCGGAGGGGCGCCCCGCTCACTCGGAGCACGCCATCTTTGAGCTGCTCTACAACGACGCTGCCGAGGGGCGCGCCAAGCGCGAGGTGAGGCGGCTGCAGGCCAGCCGCGACCTGATGGCCAGCTGCACCTTCTCGCCGGAGGTTGGCAAGCTCTCTCGCTGGGAGCGGGTGGAGGCGCTGCACGCTGCGGAGCTCGAGTCGCCAGGGAAGGGGACGGGCTCCTCGGCGCGCCTGAGCGCCTAGTCGCTCGGTGTGTGCGGGGCTGGCGGCCGATAGAGTGAGTGGGAACCTGCCCACCGCTCTCTATGGACCGCTCCGCGCTAAAATTCTTTTTGCTATACTACATCCTGACGTATATCGTCCACCATACTGTACTGTAATGGCTGCCAAAGTCGAGCTCGCGTCCAGCAGCGGCGGCCCTCCAGCGGCGGAGGCCGCGCCGCCTGCCTCCGCGCCTGCGTGGCCGCCACTGCACGCGCTGGCCACGGCGCAGCCGCCGGCGCTCGACGCGGCTGCGCTGTCGCACATACACGCGCAGCAGATCCTGCTGCAGGAGCTGCAGGTTCGCGCGGCTGCAGAGGCGCGCCGCGGACTCAGTGCAGCCGCGCTAGCGCCACGCGATTTGCCGCGCTCACTCTCCGAGCCTGCCACCAGGCGGCTCGCGCTGTCGGCCTCTCTCCGATGGCGGCGCTGCAGGCTCTGCCGCACCTGTCTGATCTGCCATGGGTGCGCCGCGCCGCGCCCGCGCGCGCATCGGAGCCCACGCCGCTGCTGCGCAGCGCACATCGCGCGGAAAAGAGCTCTCCCTTTCCCGCCGTAGCCACCGCGCACGCGCCCACCCCCGCATTTGCCTCTGCGCAGCCATCAATGATGCCCTCGGTCGACTCGCACGCTGCGGCGCTGGCGCTGGCCGCGGCAGGCACGGGCGTGCAGGGTGTGCAGGGCGTGCAGGGGGCGGCGGCGGCGGCGGCATGCAGTGCTCTGATACCGGCGGCGGCCGAGTCCTCTGCGTCTGCTGCGTCTGGTGGCGGCTCTGCGGCCGGCGGCGGCTCTGCGGCTGCGGCCGGAGGAGAGGAGGAGGAGCAAGACTACACGTGCACCGTCTGCCGCAAGGTCTTCAAGCGCGAGATGAACCTCGTCTTCCACATGACGACCCACCGGCCAAAGCAGCCGCAGTCCGAGACGGCGGACACGGTGCGCCCCGCCGCCGCCGCGCGCCCTTCTCCCCCGCCCTCTCCCCCGCCCTCTCCCCGCCCCGCCCGCTCGCCACCGGGCAGACGAGCACGCGCCCGCGGCCGTCGTGAGCTGCCGCCGCCGCGCCGCACGCGCCTCACCGTCCCACCGCCGTGTTCAGGGCGCGCAGGCGGACAACGGCCTGGAGCCGGTGACGTGCCAGGACTGCGGCAAGACGTTTGGCACAAAGTACCAGGCGAAGAAGCACTACCTGCGCCGCCACTTCAAGGGGGAGCGCCCCTTCCCGTGCACAAAGTGTGGCAAGCGCTTCGTCGTGCGCGAGGACCTGACGATGCACATGAAGTCGTGCGGCAACATCTACGAGTGCGGCTCGTGCAAGGTGAAGCTCTGCTCGCTCGGCGCGCTCAAGCGGCACTGCAAGCATTTTGGACACGTGGCCCTCTCCCACGAGCCGCGCGCGGAGGAGCCGATGACCGACGGCGCCGCCGCCGCCGCCGCTGCCGCCGCCGCCGCTGCCGCCGCCGCCTACTTCCCCAGCGGAGGGCTGCCGCCCGGCACGATGCTGCCCGACCTGGCGGGCGGTGGCGCCTTGGGCGGTGGCGCCTTCTCGGCCGGCCTCGGCGGCGCTCCGGTGGGTGCCATCGTGCGGCAGAGCGCGGCGGAGCAGATGGCGGTCCACTTGGTGGCGCAGGCGGAGGCGGCAAAGGCGCAGGCGGCGCAGGGGACGCCCCACTTGGGCATGAGCATGCTGAGCGCGGCGTCAAACGGGCAGTTTGCCTCCCCGGCCCTGCACGTGTCGGGGCAGCCGGCGGCGGCGCTGCCCGGCGAGCCCCCTGCCGCCGCCGGCATTGGCTCCGATTGGCTCACCGCCGACGGCACGAGCGAGGACCGGCTCGCGGCGCAGACGCTCGTGCTCTCAGCCTCGTCGGGCAACATCAAGGCGCTCGCCGAGGCGGAGTGAGGGGCGCCTCCGCGGGGCACCAAGCGCCGAGTACACGGGCCGCCCGGACCTCGCCGCCCGGACCTCGCCGCCGCCATCTTGATGTCCATAGCATCCCCATGTCTCGTTTGCCGTCGGGCGACAGTTGCATGCACCGCGGCCGCATGCCGCATCATTTGCCGCGCATGGGCGAGGTAGGAACCGGCCGCGGTTCTGGCCATCATGATTGGAGTTTGGCGTCTCGTTTCTCGCATCCGCCGGAGGGCGGCCTCCGCTGTTTCTTGGGGTAGTATGTCTCGTTGTGCACAGAGAGCCCGGCCACGCGGGGCCTCGGCATCGCCTTTCCGTAGAGGGAGGGCGCGAGGTCGCGAAGTTGGCCGGGCTGTCTTTTTATGGGTGAGAGTTGCGAGTTTTTTTTCTTTTTTGCGCACAACACTGGGCACGGGACTGGCGCGCACTGGCACTAACACAGCCTCACAGGTACGCAAGCGTGTAATTCTTTTTTGCACTACAAACACGCCGCCGGAAGCGAGCGCGCGCTCGGCCCTGGCGATTTGGCGATGGCTTCGCAAGCTGGGACAGCCAAGCGCAAGGACACTCAGGTGTGCTCCGCCGCTGCAGCGCCTCAGAGCCGCGCGTCGGCGCTGTGCCTTCCCCTGACCGCCTCCTCCGGCCGCGTGCGTCGCAGGAGATCGGCGAGGCGCTGGCTGCGCGCGTCGCAGCGCTAGCGGGCGACAACGCTATCCTGGCGGGCGATGCTATCCTGGCGGGCGGTAGCGTGACTGTCGACGTCTGCTGCGGTGTGGCTGACGAGGGCTTCCGAAGGGGAGCCCACGAGCTGGCGTTCGCGGTGATCCGTGCGAGTCTGCACAAGCATGGCCTCGAAAACGACAAGCTCTGCCGCCGCTACTTCTTCCTGCTGGACACGGTGGTCAAGGCGCGCATGTCCGCAAAGAAGAAGGAGCCGCCCAAGATGCTCTACTTGCGCGAGATGCTGGGTCGGGTGCCGGAGGTGCTCTCGGGCCAGCTCGCCCTGCTGGGCGGCGTCGACGGGGTCAAGGCGGGGGAGCGATGCGTGCTGATGAAGGAGCGCGGCGTGATGGTGATCGGGCTCTCGCGGCTGGAGTGGCGGCTGCTGCTCGAGAAGCAGGCGGGCCCAAAGATGGAGATGCAGATGATCTCGGGGGTGGAGGAGGCGGTGGTGCGCGGTCTCTCGTTGAGCGAGAGCATGTCGGACGATCAGGCCGACCTCAAGCTGAGCTGGAACGCGTGGGCGCTCAAGCTGTGCGAGGCTGAGGAGGGCACGCCCCAGCTGCGCGGCAAGTGCCTGCTGCAGCGCACGGTGCTGCTGCTGGCGCAAAACAGCTTCCAGAAGGCCATCGACAGCAGCGGCGAGGTGATGCGGATCCAGCCGGCCAACAAGCACGCGGCCGCGCTGAACGCCACCGCGCTGCACAAGATCGGGCGCAAAAAGGAGGCGGCGTCCGCGGTGACCGAGCTGATCGGCGCGTTTCAGCGGTCCGAGAACCAGCACGTCCAGGACGAGCTCGGCGCGCCGCTCGAGCTGGTCGTGTCGCTGCTGGTGGAGATGCACCGGACCAAGGAGGCGCTCCGCCTCCTCTCGCAGCTCCTCTCGCGCGTGTCCGGCCCGCGCCACCAGCCCCTCTTCTTTGGGCTCGCGCGGCTCTACGCCAAGCACGGCCTGAACAAGGACGCGCTAGTGCTCAAGCTGCCGCAGCTCTGCACGCGGCCGCCCAACCGGCGGACGTGGGACCTGCTCAAGTCGATGACGGAGTACCTCCCCGCGGCGGTGGAGCAGCTGCTGCAGTCCTACATCGACGAGGCGGGCCCCGGACGCTTCACGCACGTGCCGCTGATCACCGAGGTGATGTGCAAGATGCCGTTTGGCGCGCACGGCTCGGCCGCCAAGAAGGCGCTCAAGCTGCTGCAGCGCTTTGGTGCGCAGGTGACGCCTGACCGGCCGGAGGACCTCAAGATCATCGTCGAGGACTTGCGCGCCTTCATGTCGTCCAACATCCCGCCGACGGTGAGCGAGCAGTTCCCTCGCGCCATCGAGTCGCTGCTGCTCTCGTACTGCGAGGCGCTGACGGCGCAGCACACTGCCGACGCGTGGGAGATGCCTGGCGACCTGATGAAGCGCGCCTTCGACGGGCAGACACCCGCGGTGCTGCTCGAGCAGCTGCAGCGCTCGTGCCTCCGCCTGCCGCTGACGTCCGAGAAGACGCTCTGGGTCGTCTTCCGCCACCTGTCGCCCGACTCGGGCGTGGCGCTCGTGCGGACTTGGCTGCTGATGAATGCCGCGGCCGCCGACGTCGACCGGATGGAGCGGTGCGCTCGGCACGTCCACACGGCGAAGGGCGAGCACGCCGCTGCGCTCGACTTGCTCCGCTGGGCGGAGTCGCGGGGGGTGCGGATCCCGGCCGAGTCGGCGCAGAGGTGGCGGGAGCTGTATCTCACTGTCTTGCGGTCGACGGCGGAGGAGCGTGCGACGACGATGACGCGCGGCGGCGCCTTAACCAGCGGCGGCCTCGACATGGCCACGCCCGCTGTGGACGACGGTGGGTCGGAGGAGGGGGAAGGGATGGAGCTGACCACGTTCCCCCACTACCGCTCGCAGCTGGCGCAGTTCGAGATTCCGCTGCGCAACATCACGCTGACGGAGCGCGGCATGCTCGCAGAGAAGATGAACGGGCAAAGCGTGCCGCGGGGGTCCGATGGCGGCGCCGGCGAAGGATCGACAGTGGAAGCGGAGGAGGAGAGCGAGGCACGTGCCAGGATCGATGCCGCCGTCAAACGGCGAGAGCTCGTCGAGGAGGCTCGCGCAGAGCAAGATAGGCTTGCCGCTCCGCTCTGCAGGCCAGGAGGGAAAAGATCGAGAGACTGCTCAGCGCTGCAGCGGAGGAGGAGAGCGAGGCACGTGCCAGGCTCGATGCCGCTGTCAAATGGCGAGAGGACTTGGCGGAGATGGCCATCAAGGCCGAAACGGCAGCACGGGAGATCTCCGAGGAAGTAGCGCTCTACTCAAGATCGGTGCGCGACCTGGCCGCCGCCTCGGCGGAGGCAGAGGCGTCGGCGCGGCGGCTGCTCGATGAAGAGGAGGGGCGTCTCCAGGAGGAGGGGCTTGAGGCGCCGCCCTCGTGCGCGGCTCCCGTGAGCTATGCGGCTGCGCGGCGCGACCTCGAGGAGGCTCGCGCAGAGCAAGAGAAGCTTGTCGAGCACGCCTCCGCTCTGCAGGCCAGGAGGGAAAAGATCGAGAGACTGCTCAGCGCTGCAGCGGAGGAGGAGAGCGAGGCACGTGCCAGGCTCGATGCCGCTGTCAAACAGCGAGAGATGGCGGAGCTGGCCATCAAGGCCGAAGCGGCAGCACGGGAGATCTCCGAGGAAGAAGCGGTCTACTCAAGCGCGGTGCGCGGTGAAGAGGAGGGGCGTCTCCAGGAGGAGGAGGGGCTTGAGGCGCCGCCCTCGTGCGCAGCTCCCGTGACACCAGACCCGCAGCTCCAGGCGGAGCGGGCCAAGGCGCAGCAGCTCCAGGCGGGGCAAGCGGAGCGCCAGCTGCTCGAGGAGCTCGCCGCGGCGGAGCGGGCGGAGCGCGAGCTTTTCGAGGATTCTGCGGCGGCGAAGGCGCATGCCGAGGCGGCACGCGCGCAAGAGGCCGAGCTAGCACAGGAGGCCGCTCGCGCAGCCGCCGAGGCTCAGAAGGCAGCCGAGACAGCGGCTGCAAGGGCGGCGCAGCAGCAGCAGGCTGCGGCGGCCGCGGCCGCGGCGACCGCGGCAGCGGCGTTGCAGTCGGCCATTGACGTGGGCGAGCTGCAGGGCATCAGAGACGCCATTGCTGAGCACGCGGAGGCTGCCGAACGCGGTCAGAGGTCGGCAGTCCTTCAGCACGCGCGGCGGCGGCGGGATGAGTTGGCCGAGGCACAGCGGAGGGCGGCCAAGGCGCAGAAGGTGGCCAGGCAGAAGGAGAAGAAGGAGGAGGCACGAGCGCAGGCGCGGGCGGCGGAGGCAGCAAGAGCAGAGAGCGAGGCCGCGGCCAGGGCGGCAGAGGAGGCGCGGGCAGCGGAGGCGCGGGCAGCGGAGGCAAGGGCGGCGGCAGAGAGGGCGGAGTCGGAGAGGGCGGAGTCGGAGAGGGCGGCAGCAGAGAGGGCGGCGGCAGAGAGGGCGGCGGCAGAGAGGGCTGCGGCAGAGAGGGCGGCAGCAGCGAGGGCGGCGGCAGAGAGGGAGGCGGCAGAGAGGGAGGCGGCAGAGAGGGCGGAGTCGGAGAGGGCGGCGCAGCAGCGGGAGCGGGAGGAGCGCGAGCGAAGCAGGGAGGCGAGGAGGGCACAACGAGAGGCGGAGCAGCGGGCAGCGCTCGAGGCGGCAGTGCGCGAGGCGGCTGAGCGCGCCGCAGAGCGTTCGGCACTCGATCGGGCGGCGGAGCGGGCAGCAAAGAGCGAGAAGGCCGCTGCCGCAGCGCAGCGTGCAGCAGCCGCGACGGCCGCACACCGGGCCGCCGCCGAAGCACAGGATGGAGCTGAGCGCGAGGCGGTGCGTGCACGGGAGGCGGCGGTGGCCGCAGAGGCGGCGGAGGCGGAGGCGGCGCAGAAGGCGGCGGAGGCTGCGCAGAGGGCGGCGGCAGCGGCAGAAAAGGCAGCAGCCGCGGTGAGCTTGGCCACGGATTGCGAGCAAGCAGCTGAGGCCGCTGCGGCGGCGACAGCTGCTGCCGAGGCTGCACGGACTGCATGCGAGGCCGAAGCGGCGGCTGCCGCGGCCGAAGCGGCAGCGAGCTACAACGAGGCGTCTGCAAGGCTCGATCAAGGGTCGTCCTCTTCGGCTGCCGAGGCGCCGGCTCCGAGGGAGGCGGAGCCGCCGCACGACTTTGTCTGTCCGATCACGACCGAGGTGATGAGCGACCCGGTGATGGCGGCGGACGGGCACTCGTACGAGCGGTCGGCGATCGAGCGCTGGCTCGCGAGCAAGTCGACGAGCCCGCTGACCGGCGGCGAGCTTGAGCACAGGATCTTGATTCCCAACCACACGCTACGGCGGCAGATTGGCGAGTGGCACGAGGCGCATGCGGGACGGTAGCACGGGAAAGGGGTGGCCTCCATGTAGTTGTGGAGATTCTGGTTGGTACGTATGGTTGAGTATCTAGTACCGGGCCTCCTTGCACTTTGAACCATGCCATGGGGCTGCTGCCCGTGTCCGGGTGTGGAGAGATGCGAGGGTTGCCCCCCCTCTTGCCCCCCCCACCCTTGGGCGTCTGCCTCTTCCTAAGGCGCTCTCTCCATCTCCCAAAACGAAAAGAAATAATAACCAGCGAAGCAAAGGCAGGGAAGGGAGGACGGCACGCCGCCACCACACAGGGGTTTTAAGGAGAGGAGTGTGGTGCTAGCCGTCGCCCGCCCACCCTTGGTCCACCAGCTCGTGCGATGAATGAAAGCCTGTTTTTTCTTTTTGGAGTCGCTTAGGCGGCTCCCGTGGTGTACCTGTGTTAGTGCCAGTGCGCGCCAGTCCCGTGCCCAGAAAAGAAAGAAAACAGACAACCCAAGGGAGGGATGCGATGGGATCCCGTGCCCAGTAAAAAGAAAGAAAGAAAACGGACAACCCAAGGGAGGGATGGGAGAACGGCACGCCGCCACCACACAGGGATTTTAATTAAGGAGAGGGGTGTGATGCGCTAGCCGTCGCCCACCCAGCACCCTTGGGCGTCCGCCTCTTCCTATCTCTCTTCGCAGTCTCTCGCCGATTCTCGCTGCAACCTTCATGCCACCTCGCGGTCGTCCCACTCTCGTCGTTCTCTCTCTTGTCGCTTCTTCCTCCGTCGCGTCGCTCCCCTCTGCCTCGTTCTGCGACGCCGCCGCCGCCTGCCGGTCCCTTGCCCAGAAAGAAAGAAAGAAAGAAAACATACAACCCAAGGGAGGGATGGGAGAACGCGGGACCAAAGAAAGAAAGAAAGAAAACAGACAACCCAAGGGAGGGATGGGAGAACGGCACGCGGGACCAGAAAGAAAGAAAGAAAACAGACAACCCAAGGGAGGGATGGGAGAACGGCACGCCGCCACCACACAGGGATTTTAATGCGTGTCGTGCGAGAGAGCCAAGAAAATTTCTTTCCTCCACCGCGCTGCCCCCACCCGACATATGCTCCTCGCAGCCAAACTCGCGTTGCCAGTGATGATAGTCGCTATCGCGGTGCCGCCTGCACTGGTGAGCCTCCTCGCCTGGGCCACGCACCCCGGGCCCGAACAAGAGCGTTGGCCCGGCCGGCCGCAGTTGAACAAGGTCTCGGGCGTGCCGGCAACGCCATTCATCACGTCCGATCGAATCGACCAGCTGCAGAACGGCACGTTCAAGCCCTCTAGCAAGGACATCTGGGTCGCCACGTACCCCAAGACCGGCACCACCTGGACCCAGACCATCGTCAACCACATCAACGGCTTCCCGCCGCTGGAGCGCGGCCAGTACCCCTTCACGTACTGCCCCTGGCCAGAGGTCAGCCTCGGGCTGCCGCCGCTCCGGTACTCCATCGAAGAGATCAACGACTTCAAGCGCTGGGAAGGGCCGGTTGGCGGTTGGCGGTGCTTGAAGTCGCACTGGCACTACGCGGACCACATGGCGGACGCGGGCAAGCGCGTCATCTACGTGATGCGGAACGTGCTGGATGTGGCCACCAGCTTCTACCACCATAGTCGCCGCTTCCACTTCGTCTACCTCGACATGGCCGACGTCAGCTTCGACGCGTTTTTCGAGATGCTCAAGGCGGGAAACGTCGACAACGGCGACTACTTTGACCACGTCGCGTCGTGGTGGGCAGTGAAGGACCGGCCAAACGTCTTGTTTGTCCGCTACGAGGACCTGCTCGCAGACCCGGCCGCCGTGATCGGGCGGATCGCCGCGCATATGGGGGTGGAGCTGACCGACGATCGGGTGGCCCAGATCGTCGAGCTGAGCTCGTTCAGGCGCATGAAGCAGTTCTATGGTGGCGACGTCGGCGAGATCGTCCTCACCGCGGTCGGGGCGCTCCGGGGACCCTTCTTCCGGAGGGGCGAGCTCGGCACGTACAGAGAGTCCGTCAACGCCGAGCAACGCGCGTGGGCGACCGAGCAGTACTTGCGAAAGCTCGCACCGCTCGGGGTCCCGCGGGACTGGGTCATCCCAGCAGTATAGTAGGCTGAAGAGCGGTTGAGGGTTGTGCCGCCGCATCCGCTCATGTTCATAGAGCTCACCGCCGCAGCTTTTTAAGCATGCTTGTTCTGCATCATTGTTCTGCATCATTAACCTGACTCCTGAGTGCAATACTCAATACACAAACTCCGAGCGCGGAGGACGCCGACGGCCCAGCCGCGAGGGGCGAGGTCTCCCCGGGCCCGCAGGGCGGCGGTGATTGAAAACAGATAACCACCCCAGGGAGGGAAGGGAGGACGGCACGCCGCCAGGTCCGGCAGGCAGCGTTTTTCTTCCACTTCACCAACCGTAATGTCGGACGACGTCCCACGGCCGAGGCGGGCACTTCAGCACTCGGGCTGGCTGCACAAGGAGGGCCACCGCGTCAACACCGCGTTCAAGCGCCGCTGGTTCACACTGACCACGGACAGGCGCCTGTCCTACTACGAGAGCGAGGCTGCCGCCGGACGAGGGCAGAAGCCGAAGGGCGTTGTGCACGTCTGCTCCCTCGCGCACGCCTGCCCTCGGGACATCAGCGGCGCCATCGACGCTCGTCCGCGCGAGCACCACGCGCACGCGGTGCTCCTCGCGCGAGCCTTCACCTTCCAGACGGACGAGGCAAAGGCGTTTGTGGTGTACGCAGAGTCGACGCGCGAAAAGGTGACGTGGCTGCAGGCGCTGCTGAGTGGCCTGGGCGGCAGCAGCCTCGCGCTCCCCGTCGAGCAGCTCGCCACACTGCGCCGCCCCTCCGAGCTCGGCCCGCCGCAGCGCTCGAGCGTCGCGTCCTCCAGCAGCGACGAGGCGGCGCAGCGAAAGAAGGCGCCGCCGGCGGGGTGCGGTGGCTCGGAGGAGGAGGAGGGCGGACGGGAGGCGGCGGCGCGAGGGGCGGCGCCGAGCCGCGCCATCGACGCCGACTCCGAGCGGCTGACCGCGCACGAGTCGCCGCACGAGTCTCAGCTGTCCGAGGCGTTCCTCTGGCTGAAGGTTGACTTGGCGCTGGACCAGGCCGCGCGCGGCGAGGCGGAGGAGGCCTGCGCCACCCTGACGAGCCATATCTCCCCAGATCTCGGCCACATCTCCCCATATCTCGGCCACATCTCGCTCTATCTCAGGCCCGCGCCACCCTGACGAGCGTGCTCGGCGGCTACCACGCGAGGGCTGGCGAGGGGCTGCCCTTCCCGGCGGGCCTTTCTGAGGAGGGGACCATGCACGCCCTCTACAAGCCCGAGTGGCTCGTCGCGCTGCATGAGCTCGGCAAGCTCGAGTGCGCGGAAGGGAGGTACGCCGACGCAGCGCCCTCCTTCCAAGGCGCGCGCTCTCTCGGCCATAGCTCGGCCATCTCTCGGCCATAGCTCGGCCATAACTCGGTTATCTCTCGACTATCTCTCGGCTATCTCTCGGCTATCTCTCGGCTACATCTCGCTACATCTCGGCCACACCTCGCTACATCTCGGCCGTCCTTCCAAGGCGCGCTCCGCATCGCGCCGCCGGAGCGGCGGACGCAGCTGCGGCTGCAGTGCGCGTGGTGTGCGTGGCACATGCGGCTGGACGAGCCGGCGGAGAGCCTGTACGCGCGCGAGCTGCGGCGGGACCCGCTCTGCTGGGCGGCGCTGCTCGACCGCGCGCGATTCCGGCTCGAGCGGGCTGCGTGGGGGCTCGCTCTCTCTGACCTCCAGCTGGTCGTGGCGATGGGGCAGGCGGCGGCGGACGTGCTCAACGACCTCGGCGTCTGCCGCTTCGAGCTGGGCGAGCCGGGGAAGGCGATGGAGGACTTCGAGGCGGCGCTGGAGGCCGACGAGCAGCACGCCCACGCGACGCTCAACCGGGGGAACTGCCACCGGCTTGCGGGCCGGCTGGCGGAGGCGAGGGCAGACTATTCTCGCGCGACCAGCCTCGACCCGCGGCTGGTCGCCGCCTTCAACAACCGCGGCGCCCTGTCGCTGGTGGAGGGGCGGCACGCGGACGCGGTGGCTGACCTCGAGGAGGCGGTGCGGATCGACCCTCACTCCGAGGTGGCGCTGCAGAACTGCGAGCTCGCGGCGGCGGCGAGCGAGCGGACCGGCCTCACCCTCAACGAGCGGGTCGGCGTGACCAGCGTCCTCCGCCCCGACGAGGCGGCACACTCACGCCCCTCACCCACGCGCACCGGGCCTCGGCACTGCCCATTGCCTTGCGCCGCTCCTGCCCTTTAGACGTGGAGTCGCGAGGGCTGCCCGGCTCTTGCCCCAGCCACAAGATGTAGATGTGGATGTAGATGTGTGTGGAGGCGCTCACCGTGCCGCACCGCACCTTAGGCGGCCGACCTACTCGCCGCGAGGGAGGGGAAGGTCGGGGTCGCGCGGAGGGCGTCGCTGTCGGGCCGGCAGCTGGCGAGCAGCGGCTGAGCTGCAGGGCACGGCCCGTGCATGCGCTTCGCATGATGCATACCCACGCGGGAGCCATGGCGGCGGTTGTCCATGACCGGACACTGAGGTACGTACGTACGCCGACACTCGTCTACACGCGTTCATGATTGTCCGCCCCAATTCTGTCTGCAGCATGAACCAGTACGCGTCTGTGTGTCGTGTGTGATCCGGATCTGTGAGGGACTCTGTCGCATCCGGCCATCTTGATCAGCTCGCCCATCACGCCGCACTGTCCGACGAGCGGGGGAGCGCGAAGAGGAGGAGGAGGTCAAGATGTTGTCAAGAACGATCTCCCCCAAGCGCCGGCACCAACTTGATTCCCGGATCGGCGTCTCCCCCTCCCCCTATGTGCCGCCACCCCCCTCCAATCCGTAATTCCGTAAAATCGCGCGAAAAGCGCCCTAATCGAGCTGGAGAGCGGCCCCCAGCCGCATGGGAGCGTGCCCCAGCTAGCAGGAGGCGTCAGACGTACTTTCGGAAGGACTTTCGGCGACGTCCGTTCCCTTGGACACGTCGACAAATGGCACCGACGCAGCTCAGCATTGTGCTGGAGCGCCTGCTCAACGAACTCGGAATAGCCAACCTCAGTATGTTCGAGGCTGTGCTCATGCACGATACAGGCGCGGTGCTCGACGCGATCCGAAGCACCGCTGCAGCCGCAGAGGCTGGTGCGGCGGTTTGTGCCAGCTCGGCCACGAGCAATGTTGTTGTGTGCCGAAGCAGCACTGCTACCGCTGGCGCAATCTCTGTTCAGCACGAGGGCAGCATCTCCCGCACTCTCGTCAGCACAGACGCGCAAACCACGCTAAAGGGCTCGGACATCCATGCAGCCGCGAGTAGTGCGACTGCTGAGATGCTGCTCCGGCAGGAGTTGGAAGAGAAGTTGCGGTCACAGACCAAGGAGCTGGCTTCTGAGCAGCGCTCTGCGAACGCTATGAAGAAGGCGCTCGCATCGGCGCGGGATGAGCTTGCTGCGGCACAAGAGCTGAGGCGCTCCGACTGCGACAACCTGAGGACAGCGCAGCAGGCTGCTAAACGCGACATCAAAGCGGCTGAGCGGATGGCCGACCAGGCAAATCATGCAGCTCGAGCTGAGTGTGAGTGGCGTATCGGCGAGATGCGGGCCAAGATGTAGGCCGAGCTGCGCGAGCAGCTCGACGCGCTGCAGATTTCGATGGAGGCAGAGGCGAGGCGCGCTGATGCCGCAGAGGCAGAGAGGTCAAGGCTGTACGACAAGATGGAGGGGATTATGCGCACGCGTGAGGGGTTGATAGACGCACTCGCAGAGGCGCAGCGCAAGCGCGAACAAGTGATTGTTAAGAGATATACGTAGCGTTACAGTCGTACGGTCGTCGACCCTCCCACCGTGTGGGCCGCCCGGACCCGCCGGAGAGCGCTGCGCGTGCAGACAGCGCTGCGCGAGCATTGGAGAGGCCAGCCCCCGGCTTCTCAGCATGTCGCGAGCGCTGAGTCTCTGCCTGCCTGGTAGCTGGGTGCGGTGGGGGACTCCCTGGTGGCTTTTGGTTACAAAGTTACGGATTTACGGATTTACGGATCGACCCCCCTCCCTCCCCGTCCCGCGACCCGGCCGTGAGACGCCGATCCGGGAATCAAGTTGGTGCCGGGCGACCAGGATGAGCGCGAACACAGCCATCGCTTACGATAAGAGGGTAGGCAGGGTTCAGTCACACGAGCAAGGTCGGGGTGCATTCGCCGAATTCTTTTCTTGCGGCGAGGGCGGTATACCCATACCCATACCGCGTTGGTGTCCAGTCCGAGCCTGACTGAGTTGTTCATCTTTCTACATACATACATACAGGGCGGTCAAGTGCACGGAGCTAAGTGGCTCGCCGTCCTCGCGGGAGTCGCTTAGGCGACTCCCGTGGTGTACCTGTGTTAGTGCCAGTGCGCGCCAGTCCCGTGCCCAGTGTCGTGCGAGGCAGTTTGCTGGTAAAATTCTTTTCTCGAGCTCCGTGTGCCCACTCGAACTGTCTCTGCGCCAGCGGCAATGGTGACTCCGCCACCGCGCCGCGCCGCGCCGCGCCTCCGCGCGCCCCGCCGCCCCCTCGCGCACCTAGGTCCGCGCCGGCAAGGCACCCCATTCTACATCGCTTGGCCATGCACCGGATGTATGTCCTTTCTTTCTCTTCTGCATGTAGATGCAACGCTCTCCCCTCCAGACACCGCTGGCACGACGCCCCGTGCGCGCGACGAAACCGATGCCGTCGCGTCGCACCGACAAGGCGGTTCACGCTCTCTATAGAACACCGATTGCGAGAGAGGGGTCTGATCTAACCACTACGTGTCACGACTACTGAAGCGAACGTTCGTCTACTCACACAGACACTAGCACAGCAACAAACACCTAGCACAGACTGCACAGCTGCGGCGGGACCAAGGGCCGCGTAAGAGCCCAGACGGCGACTACACACGATGCGCCCCTCTCACGCGCACCCTGGCCAATAGACATACCACGCGAAGCCCGAGTCAGGGCAGCGGCAGATCTCGCAGCGGATGGTGACGGCGCGTCCAAACAAAACCATCTTTTCGGGCAGCTGGTCGTAGATGCTGACCTTGTAGCCGTTCTCAATGCAGTGCAGCGGAAACTCGGGCTGTGTGAGGGCTAGGTCACCGACCTCTATATACGACTCGCTCTCCTCATCCGCGAGGCGTAGCACCTTTTCGGTGGTCGATGCGTCCACTGTGCGAGCGGAGCGAAATCACGGTGGTGAGTGGAGAGGTGGGCGGGAAGGGTGGCCAGGTGGTGCAGGCTCGGCGTACCGTCGGCAAGCGCTAGCAGGCTCCTGATCTTCTCCGGCGGCACTCTGGCTGCGTCGATCTTGATCGCCGGGCCGCTGGCGCTGCTCAGTGAGCGCAAAGCGACAAGCGCGAGTGTGCCGAGTACGAAGGCCACGACGAGCCCGGAGACTACGGGACGCGGTTTTGAGGAGGAGCGGCCGCGGCTGAGGGAAGCGTCCTCGGGTGCGATCATCAAGAGCCGGTTGCGTCGGCTTCACGAGAAGCGACTCTCGTGACGAGCCGCCGGAGCGCAAAGAGGGCGCGCGTGACACGATGAAAGTTGCTTGGATTCACTGATTGCGGGGTGCTGTTCTCAGGGGGGCATATCCCTTTTCACACCTTAATCATAAACGGGAAATGTGAGAATTTCTTGCGCGGCTCTATCTAGAGAGAGATGCGCGCGGTGAAAGCACAAACGTGGCTGCTGCTTGGAGAAGAAGTCGCTAAATGGGCGTCTCGCTCCGCATGGCCACAAGCGCGTCGCACGCCGCCGAGTAGACGGCCACCACGTCGCCCGAGAGAGTGAGCACCCGCAACTCGTCGCCTCGTTTCTTTGCCTGTCGCGCGAATCGTGCTGTGCGAGCCTTTTGTTGTAGTAACATTCTTAAATAATAAATAAAAACGGACAGCTCTCTTGTCTCTACTGATTCACGTACTGTGAGACGGGTAAAAAGGAACAGGTCTCCGCCCGTGCGATCTTTGTGCAGGGTTCTTGTTGTCCACAAGAAAGTTCCTTTAGTTAGAACCGTAGTTAGTTAGTTAGGAAGGTGAAGAACAGCCAGCCAGCCAGGCTCGTCGAGGACTGGACACCAACGCGGTATGGGTGGACGCTGGACAGATGATGACGACACGCACGAGCGACACACAGACACAAACAAGCTCACAAGACATACAGCCAGCTGGCTGCCACACACCCTGAGTTGGCGTACACATAACTCTCAGGGCCACGGGTACAAAGAGGGGTACCCGGAGAATCCCCAGCTGCGGAAACGTAGTGTCGCTCAAGAGGTGCGATACTGCGGGGGAGTGTAAGGTGCCTATATGGGCTTCCAGTATCGGACCTTCAAGACATGCGCTAAACCTTTTGCATGGCCGGTGGCCTCCTCGGACACCAACCTCACTCGGAACAACCTCACCCCAAGCACAACCCAACCTAACACGAAACAACCTCACAAAAAGCACGATTCTCAAGTTGGGCCCTCGGCCTGTAGTTTTTCAATTCTTTTCCAGTATAGTTCTTTTCCTGTACCCCCATTCCGCCGACGGCCTTAGGTATTCGGCGGGTGGTGCAACGCGGTCAAGCGGCTGTTCTACCAGATGAAGGACAAAAGGTGCGCAACAAGCTCTCGAAGCGGCAGCACGAGGACGAGGCGAGCTGGTCCACGCGGTCGTGGCTGTCGCTCTGCAGGCCCAGCGCATGTCAGTCGCGCTGCAGCTCGCGGCGGCGGAAGAGACCGAGCTCAGGCTCGCCGCGGCGTCGGAGGACGCCGCCGTCGCCTAGACTCCCCTGCGTGCCTCCCCGTCTTTGTAGCCTGGCGTTTGTGCCCCGTTTGTGCCGCGTCCCGTGCCCCCGAGTTCATAAAAAAAAACAGCAACAACCCGACCCGAGGGTCAATTCACAGCCAAAACGGTGACTCGATGTTCCGCTCAGTATTTTCACCGCAATACTCGGAGCCGGCGCATCACGCAAATAGGGGAAAGAACCATGCGGAATCGACCTAACCCAGGGCAACAGTGCACCTCCACAAAAGAGCGCAAGACCAGTTTCCTTAGCTTTTTTTATTTTCGCTCTCCGTATTGTAGACATAGCCGGTGTACGCGGCGCCCGCGGCGGGCGCGCGTCCGCATGGTACGCGCGCGTCAGATCCTGCTCGCGTTAGTCCATGCCATCGTGGCGGGCACCAGCTTCCATGCTGACGCGCTACCTAGCGACGCGATTCCAACGAGGATCGTGGGAGCAGCCAAGCGAGGCGACGAGGCGGCGGTAGTGGCGTGGCTTGACGGCGGCGGGCGGGTCGACGCGACGTTCAAAGATACACGGCAAGACGTCGCCGTGAGTGGCCTCACGCTTCTCATGGCTGCCACCGATGGAGGCCACGAGCAGCTCGTCGACACGCTGCTGCGGCGTGGAGCTGATCCTAACCAGCAGGAAAGCGAGGGGTGGACAGTCTTGATGATCGCCTCCGCCAAAGGCCGCATGCGGTTGGTCCAGACACTGCTGTGGCACGGCGCGGAGTGCAACCATCGAAACAGAGTGGGGGCCACAGCGCTAATGTCCGCCACCGTCCACCATCACCCCGCTGTCGTGATGGAGCTGCTACTGGCAGGCGCAGACACAGAGGCGCGCAACGGCCGTGGCTCGACGGCGCTGCAGCTGGCAAAGGACCTGCACCACACCTCGTGCATCGAGGCCATCGAGAACCACCTTGAAGAGCGCGGAGGGCTGGCTCCGTTGGCTGTCGTGCGAGCGGCTGAGCGGGGCGAGGAGGAGGCGGTGGTGGCGTGGCTCGACGGCGGCGGGCAGATCGAAGCCATGTTTGACGACGGCTCCACCAGCGGCCTCACGCTGCTGTCGGCCGCCGTCAGCTTTGGCCAAAGCTCACTGGTCGAAACATTGCTGCGGCGAGGGGCTAATATCGAACATCAGAACAGCGACGGCGACTCCGCACTCATGTTGGCCTCCGCCAAAGGCAACGGCCAGATCGTCGGAATTCTGGAGTCGCACGGCGCAGACGTCAACCAGGTGAGCGGGTTCGGCGATAGGCTTGTAGTCGAAGCCGGCATCACAGGCCACGAGCGGCTAGTGGATGTGCGGCTGCACAACTTGCGTGGCGTTGCTGGCACGACTGCGCTGATGGTCGCCGCCCACCACAACCAGTCCGACATCGTGACCCAGCTGCTGAACCTGGGCGCGGAGGTTAAGGCGAGGAACGTCTATGGTAAGACGGCACTTCAGATGGCCAAGGACAAGGGCAACGGCGGATGCGTCGAGGCCATCGAAAAGCACGTTGCAGAGCGCGGCGGGCTGGTTCCGTTGAATGTCGCGGGAGCGGCTCAGCGAGGCGATGAGGAGGCGGTGGTGGCGTGGCTCGACGGCGGCGGGCGAGTTGATGCGACCTTCAGGGAGGGCTCCACCTACTTGGGAGAGTTAAAAAAACTTCGTAACTCCTTGGCGACGAGCCGCGGGCTTTTGCCACTGCGTGCCAGCCTCAGACAGCCGGGCCGCCCGAGAGTTTTACTGACGAGTTTCTCTCGCGGGGGCGGCCCGGCACAACCAACCCTGTGCCCAGCACAAAAAAAATTCTGGCGCAGCGGCCGGCGTGAGCCGCGCCAGCTGTCGACCAGCTGTCGACCAGATTCGATCGATTTGATGGATCCCTTGATGGTCCGATGGGCGACGGGCGACCCCCCCAAACCCCCCCACCAGGTCTCGAACCTGCCTCCACTCGCTCGAATCAGGCGCTTCGAACGGCTTTGCAAGCCCGGGCATGCAAAATTGACGACGAATGCGCTTCACCACCTCATATAGTACCATTCTATTGCATCAGCACCAACCCACGCTACGTTCTAGGGACGCAGAGCGCGCACTGAGAGACCACTCATATCGCCGTTGCGGGGCGGCAATGTGACTGGACTCGCCGTGCGCGCCCAGCTAACCCTAGCCACCAGCCTTCGCCATACCCAGGTACGGTCGTACCAGTCTCTCCACCTAGTCATCCCAATCCTCGGGCGACCGCGCAGCTGCGCTACTCACAGGCAGTCTCCCTGCCTCAGCTGTTACAGGCACCACCCACCGACCAATCTCGACGACGAGCCGTGGCAGGGCTCGCTGCGCCAGCTGCACAGCAGTACGCCACAACACAACATATTATCCAACATAACCTCTCCCTGAGTGCCCTACCCTTGCGGGCTCAGTTGCCGCATTAGGAGCCTTCGCACCGCGAGTGGGCTCAGGTGGGATCCACACAGAGAGAGGTTCAGTACAGAGCCGCACTCTACACACCTTATCCCCCTACTCGGGCGGCATCGTGGTGAGACCCTGGGCAGTCAGAGAGGCTGACAGTAAGTGGCGGGCTGAGAACTCGGGCCTCTCCCGACCCGCCATCGCTGCCTAAGGGAGGATCCTATCGGCCACTAGACCATGACAGATCAGAGGCGCACACGCCCTGTCCCAGCTCCCCCACTCCTCACACTGGGTTTGCAGTGCGCGGCCTCGCCACCTCCCTACCAGGGCAAACCCCCTCTCTCCCCCTAGGTGCTGCACTTGACGTCCATAGAAGGCGCGCGGCAGAGGCGGGAGGGAGGCGGGGAGAATCTAGCTCGCTCTGGCAGGGAGGCAAGGGTGTGACAGAGTGCTTGGGTGAGAACAGGCGGAGTGTGTGTGCCTGTACGCGATTGGGAGAGCACTTGTGACGAGGCACGGTTAGGCGAGTGGCAGTCGCTGGTGCGGACTTGCTAAGTCGTGTGTGCTCCTTTTTGCTTGCTAAGACTGGAACAAATCTCGATGCAGGGAGAGTATCACACCGGGCGCGGGGCGAGCCACTATCATCACTGGCTCGCGGCAATACGGACACTCTTGCATCAGCTCGGAGCAGGGACCGCACACGCACAAGTGGCTGCACGGCACCGCGAGGTGAGACTTTGGCCGCTCGAAGCATATGATGCACGACGTCTCGCCTCCCATGGTGGACTCGGGGGCAACCGGCCGCCCCGTGTCGAGGCCGGCGTCCGCTAGTGAGACGGCAGCAAACGGCTCAGTGACTGGCGGATGCGGCTCCACCGCCTCTGCCGCCTCTGGCCCGATCAAGCGCTCGATGGCGCCGACCCGCTCCTCGAGGCTACCCTCGGTCGCCGCGCCGAGGCTCGCCTCCAGCTGATCGACACGCCGCTGCAAGTCCCCGCCGCCGCCGGTCGACTCGCTGCTCACCGCCTCCTCGCACCGCGACACCCGACGCGCCAGCGCCTCCTCCGCATCCACCTCTGACCGGCGCATCGCCTCTACTAGCTCCGCATCCTCGCGCAACGCCGCCTGCTCTGCCGCGCCCGCTAGCTCTGCCGCCTCGCGCTCCGCTCGCCTCGCCGCCTCTTGCTCAGCAGCCAGCCGCGCCGCCCTCTCCTCCTGCTCGCGAAGCTCTGCTGCAACCTTCGCCCTCCGCTCCTCCTCTAGCTTGAAGGCAGGCGTCGCCTTCTTGGCCTCCTTGTTCTTCGCCTTACCCTCCTTCCTAACCGCTTTCTTCTCGGCTGCCTTTGCGCGCTGCTTCGCCTTCTCCTCCTTCGCCCTCCTGTCAGCAGCCTCCTTCTCACGCCGCTCCGCCTCTGCTTTAGCCGCGTTGCGCGCAACCGCCGCCGCCCGCTGCTCCGCAAGCTGCGCCTCCTCTGCTGCTCGCCTCTCCGCCTCCCTCGCCCAAAGCGTCTCCTCTGCTGCCGCGCGCTCAGCGGCCAGCTTCGCCTCCGCCTCCGCCGCAATGGCTCGCCTCTGCTCCTCGAGCGCCGCCGCATTCGCCGCCCGCCGCGCCTCGACCGCCACTCGCTCTGCTTCGCGCTGTCGTGCCGCCTGCTCGCGCTCTCGCGCCTCCGCCGCCGCCTCCCGCTCGCGCTGCTCGCGCCGCCCCTTGGCCTCGAGCGCCTTCTCGGCCGCCTTCTCGGCCGCCTCGGCCTCCCTGAGCGCCGCTGCGTGCTCTGTGAGAGCGCGCACGCACCCGGCGTGGTCCTTTGCAGGAGCACTGGCGGCCTCGGCAGTCGCAGGCTTGGCCGCCTCCTTCTTGGCGAGCTGCAGCGCGGACCAGCCGTCCGCAGAGCGCGCCTTCGTATCTGCGCCAGCCCGCAGCAGGCAGAGCACGACGGGGAGGTGGCCTTGGGCGGCGGCGCGCATCAGCGCGGTAGCGCCTCTGCTCTGCAGGTTGACCTCAGCGCCACGCTGGAGCAGCAGCTCGACCACCCGCTCGTGGCCTTTGACGGCGGCGCCCATCAGCGCGGTGCCGCCTTCGCTGCTCTGCGGGTTGACCTCAGCGCCGCGCTCCAGCAGGAGGTCGACCATCCGCTCGCGGCCTTGGATGGCAGCGTGCATCAGCGCGGTGTGGCCATTGCAGTCCTGCGTGTTGATCTCCGCGCCGTGCTGCAGCAGCAGCTCGACCACCCGCTCGTGGCCGTTGTAGGCGGCGAACATCAGCGCGGTGTAGACGTCGCTGTTCTGCTTGTTGACCTCCGCTCCGCGCCGAATCAGCAGCTCGACCACCCGCTCGTGGCCTTGGATGGCAGCGTGCATCAGCGCGGTGCCGCCATTGCTAGCCTGCAGGTTGACCTCAGCGCCTCGCTGCAGCACCAGCTCGACCACCCGCTCGTGGCCGTTGGTGGCGGCGTCCATCAGCGCGGTGCGACCTTTGCGGCTCTGCATGTTGACCTCAGCGCCAGCGCCGCGCCGTAGCAGCAGCTCGACCACCCGCTCGTGGCCTTGGCCAGCGGCGAGCATCAGCGCGGTGCCGCCGACGCTGTCCTGCAGGTTGACCTCAGCGCCTCGCTGCAGCACCAGCTCGACCACCCGCTCGTGGCCGTTGGTGGCGGCGTCCATCAGCGCGGTGCGGCCGGCGCTGCTCTGCTTGTTGATCTCCGCGCCGCGCTGAAGCAGCAAGTCGACCACTCGCTCGTGGCCGTCGCCAGCGGCGCTCATCAGCGCGGTGAGGCCGTTGCTGTCCTGCAGGTTGATATCCGCGCCATGCCGAATCAGCAGCTCGACCACCCGCTCGTGGCCATTGTAGGCGGCGCTTGTCAGTGCGGTGCCGCCGTTGCTTCTCTGCAGGTTGATCTCCGCGCCGTGCTGCAGCAGCAACTCGACCACCCGCTCGTGGCCGTCTGCAGCGGCGCCCATCAGCGCGGTGAGGCCGCTACTGCTCTGCATGTCGACCTCCGCGCCGCGCTTGAGCAGCAGCTTGACCACCAGCTCGTGCCCCACCTGGGCGGCGCTTATCAGCGCGGTGCCGCCGTCGCTGTCCTGCAGGTTGACTTGAGCGCCGTACTGCAGCAGCAAGGCGGCCACCCGCTCGTGGCCCTGGCCGGCGGCGTCCATCAGCAGGGTAACGCCGGTCACCCCGCCATTCTCGCGCGCGGTGTTTGCTCCCCCGCCTCTCTCGAGCCACGAACGCACCGCCGCTTCGTCGCCTCGCAACACCGCGTCGACATGCGGCGCACTGCGGCGCGGCACACTTTCTTTTTTTGGCCTTCGCGTGATCACTGTGAGAAGCTGCTTTTGCGTCTTGGGTCGTTTTTAGAATTCTTTTTCAGCCCACCTGCCAGCAGGAGCCTTCGCCAACTAAAAAACACAGCACCGATGCCGACTTAGTGTGGGGAGGGTCGGCGAGCACTCACTCACTAGGCGGCGCCGCAGGGCCGGGGCACTGGCCACGGCCTCGCCAACCACTAGAAGGCGGCCCACCCACTACGCACACCAACTTAGTGCGCGCGGGGTGGCGGGAGGCACTCACTTCCGCGCACTAAGTCTAAGAGTTAGTGCGCGTAGTAGCCGAGCCCGCCTCCGTCCGCCGGCGAAGGGCACTACGAGCGGCCCGCCGGACCACTCCCCTCGCGGCCGGCCGGAGGCACTCACTTCCGCGCACTAAGTTATGCGCATAGTGTCCCGGCCTCCGACCACGACTCCCGGGGGAGCACTTCACCACTTGACCCGCCTCGGCGCACCACTAGCCCTCGTCCAGCTCACAGACTAACTTGCGTCGACTTAGTTCCCGCAGGGCCCGGGACCACTCACTCACTACAGCATCTGTGCTCTTCACACGACCTGGCGAAGGCGCCTGCTGCCAGGGGGCATAGAGGCCTCAGCTTCGCAAAAAAGACCCGATGCGCGGCGGCCTGCGACGGCCCGGGATGAGCTCCCCACGATGCGACTAAGCGAGATCAATTGACCTACTGGACCTATAGTCCACCCCTATCATGTCTATACTGACTGCAGACGACCACATGCCACACAGCATCACGCACAAGCACAAGACCCGGGATCGCAAAAAAGACCCGCGGTGCTCACACACACCCACGCGCTCGTGCATGCCGAACCAGCTCTAAAAAAATACCACCGGGACCGCCTCGCCAAGGCGCACAATAGTCCTCAGTCTGGCGAAGGCCAATTCTGTCATCCTGGGCGTCAGCAGCGTGCGACGACAGCGGTCTTCGTTGCGCGGCAGTCTTTTTGCGCAGCGCTGCGGCCCGCTCGCGCCGAAGGGAGTGTTGAGCCGATTCTGTGATTGCGGCTGCGTGGTTGGTCGGCGGCCGTCGCGTTCGGTCGTCCCGTGCCGGCCTCGGCGTCGCGGCCCTCGCACACCCTGGGTTCGTCCGAATTCGAATCGCCGTTGTGGAGTACGGGCGCGGCAAAGTCGGCGCCTCGACAGCGCCTCGACGGCGGCCGCAAAAGCCGTCTCCTGCACGTCGCCGCGCGGCCTCGAGGCGCCGCGAGCGTGCGCTGAGGTCAGCACGACTCGCTCCGGCCCGAGACGGCCGACGCGCGCGCTCTCGCTCCCACCTCTCCATCCCGACGCTCCGCGCTCGCTGTGTCGCCCGCGATCGCGGCATAACCACCGAGCCGCAGCGCGGCGCTCGGCCCGCGCCGCCGTCTCACGAGCTCGTCTCTCGCCCGCCGCGCAGGCGAAAACCAACTCCGTCCTCAAGGGCAAGCTCGAACGACTCCCGTCACTGTACCCCTCGTGCCACGCTGCAGCCGCCGCTCTCGTCTCTCCTCTGTCGCTTCGCCGCGGTCGCGGCTGCACGGAGGTGCCACGGGCCGTGCGAGTGATACTCCGCTGCGTGCTGTCCGGCTCCATATACTGCGACTGGTGCGCCGCGGATGTTTGAGAGTGCGGTTTAAAAAGGTCCTGCCCCGCGCCTCCGCGGCACAGAGGCACTGGAGGCAAACTGCGGGCGAATAAATATTTTTGAAGGGATGAACGCGAGCTCGCGGGGTCCACACGAAAGCACCGCTTGGCGGTGTCAGAACCGCCCTCTTGGACCCTGGTGGGCCGAATCTGCGCCCTCTGGGCCCCGGCGGCGGTCCCGGAGAGGGCCAGCACGCGGGCTCCGCCGACGATCTCGCAACGCGGGTCGCGCCGCGCGCCTCCCGAACGAAGCGTGTTGGTGCGCGATGGCGATCCTCGCCTGCGGGGAGCGGAGCACACGCGTCGGATGGCGAGGGCAGCACAAATATTGCACTCACGTCCCAGTATGGCAGCAGCCGGACGGGTTGGGTGGCGTGAGGACAGTGGACAGGGGGTGGTGAGGATGATTCCACAGATCTCGCTGAAAATGGCCGTGTCCTTCCCGGGGGAGGCAGGCGAGCGCACACCTCGCGTCCGAGCGCGAGTCGACGAGTGGTCGCCGAGAGATCGCCGAACCACGTTTCGAGTGCGCGCGCCGCGCACACAGCACAGCTGCGGGTTGTAACTCGACTGCCGATCGCGCGCGCGGGATTTGAATGGAGCTCGCTGGCGCCAGTGCACGGCAGCACCGCCTAGTATCTCGGCCGGAACGAACGAGCAGTCCCCAATCGACACGTTGAGGACGCTGGGCTGGATTTGTTGAACTGCCACAGCGGGCGGAGGCGCGGGTGCCAGAGGAGGGTGACGGCCGGCGGCGGCGTACGGCGGCGAGTCGGAGGCGAGGGGGTGGCCCTGCCGCGCGACACCGGCGCCCCGTCGGGACCCACGCTGGAGCAGCTTCGGCGTCTGGCGGGGCTGCTGCGGCGGGCGGGACTGCGGCGGCGTACTGGGGCGCGAAGCGGCAAGGTTGGGCGGCGGCGACGGCGCGGCCGGCGATCGGCTCGAGGCGGTCGATCCGCCCGGTGACTGGGTCTCCTCTCCGCTACCCGCGGCCGGGGCGAGCCCGCCCTGGGGGCCCGCGTGCGTGCCCGCTGTCGTCGCCATTTTCTGTCGATTGCGGCGGCGCCGTACGCCTCAACGAGCGGGTCGCCGAGCGCGCCGCGCGGCTCTGGGCGTGCCGCGTCGACCCTCTCGAGCGATCGGGCCGCCTCCGGGCGCGGCGCGTCGAACGGCGCGGCCGTCAGCGAGGAATCGGCTCAACACTCCTGGGCTGGGATTCGGCGCGGGTGGCTCTAAGCGCGGAGAAGTGCGTCGCATGTGCAGCGCTCCGCAGCAAGCTCAGCTGCGAGACGCCACTGTGCAGCACCCTGACGCCTCCAAGCGGCCCACGCGCACAGCGGCGCTTCTGAGGCCGCTGGCCATGTTGCTCTCGCTCTCGGCCTCCCTCGCGCTCTCACTGCTGAGGATCGCCGCGGCGGCAGTGCGCCTCGCCGCGAGTGCTGCTCTCGGCCTGCGCGATCCGGCCGACAGCGCGTGCGCGTGCGAGTTTTACGAGGGCGTCGTCCACCACCTGCGGACCAAACCCAAGCGGCACACCCTGACCTATCGCGTGCGGTACTGCCTCCTCGACCTGGACGCGGCGCGCCCGCCTGCCTGCTGCGCCGCGCAGCTCGAGGACCGGCTGACCGCCGCGCAGGCGCGCTCGGAGAGCGGTTACGACGGTAAGGTGCTGCTGCTGCTACTGCCCGGGAGCGCCGGCTTTGAGGAGAGCTTCGCACCCTCTCCTCGCCCCTTTCCGAGACCTTTCCCTACAGCCCCCCTCCTCGAGACCGTCGCCGACACGCCTCCCCAGCAGAACCCCGCCGCCGTCTTGCACACGTCCGTGACACGCCCATGACGCGCCCGGGACATGCACATGCACATGCACATGCACATGCACACGCACACGCACACCGCCCATGACGCGTCCGGGACGTGTCCCACCAGGAGAACCCCATCGTCGTCTACTACTGCCACGACGCGGCGGGGGCGCTGCGCTGCTGCCTGGCGGAAGTGACAAACACCCCGTGGGGAGACCGAGTGCGGTTCGCGTTTGCTCCGAGCGGCGACGAGCTGCCAAAGGCAATCGCGCGTCTCGCCGCTGCGGGACCCGTCCATGACACGTCCGCGACACGTCCGCGACACGTCCGCGACACCCGTCCCGCAGGCGATGCATGTCTCGCCGCTGCAGGACAGGACACGCGTGGAGCGCTGTCACACCAGGCCTCGAAGGTGAGGTTGAGCTCGGTTGTCTGCAGGACATGGCCAGCGCGTGGACGCTGCACGCCAGCGCCCCCGCAGAGCGGCTCGCCCTCTCCGTCTCGTGCGAGCACCCGGAGCTGGGACGCTTCTTCGACGCGTCGCTCGCCGCGCGCCGCGTGGCGCAGCGCCCCTAGATGCGGACGATCTCCCCAGATCTCCCCAGATCACCCCAAATCTCCCAAATCTCCCCAGATCTCCTTGACACGCATCCAGCTGTCTCCGGCTGTCTTTGTACCGCATCCAGCGGCAACTGATCCGTAGCCCGTGTGTGTGCTCTCTCACACGAGGCTCGCAGCACACTGCGCGAGACCCGCACTCCCGCCCTCAGCCCCGTCGCCCTCTTGCCCCAGGCGCAGCCCGCCTCGTCCGAGGTCTGGGCCTGGCTCATGCCCCACCGCGTCGCCGCCTGGATCTACTGGCACGCCACACTCCTCCTCTGGGCGGGCGTGCCCTTCCTGCCGCACCCGAAGAGCTCGGACCCAGCCGCATACAAGCGCGACATCCTCGCAAAGGCGGAGGCCTCTGGCAAGACGCTCTGCCCGGCCGTCGGCGCCGCCGCGGTGGGCCAGCCCCGCTTCTCATGGCGCGACGCGGCGCGGTATCCGTGGGACGGCTAGAGAGAAGACACCGAGGCCGCCCGCGCCCCGCGCGCGCGCCTTGGTCTTTTGTGAGATATTGTACCGCTACGGCTACGGCTAATACGGCTTACGTAAAATAATATCGGGCCCAAATATCGCGTCACACCAATCCTCGCTACCCAATCAGCGGAAGAAATAAACTCGCCCTCGGAAGCACAAAGCAGCGCGGCATGGAGCTGTACACATAGAGAAAGACAAAGAGGCGCGCCGCCAGGGGTCGCAATCTCGATCTAATACCGTCGAGCTGTCCTCTGCTCTCATCCAGACTCGCTCACACATGGCGGAGACCACCCGCCGGTGTGTGCCCCTTCCCATCACGCCTCAAACACGAGCCACCGCACCTCCGCCAGCCCGCCCTCGGCGTCCCAGTGCGCCTCGACAGTGTACAGCCGCCTGCCGCCGACTGCCTCGCCCTCGCCGCTGTCGGCCGTCGAGTGCTGCGGAGGCCACCACGCGGCGGCGCTGGAGAAGGGCTGGTTGGCGACGCGCCGCGTGGGCGCCACCACCGCGACTGTCCCGCCAGCGCACAGCAGCACCGCGTCCGCCGCCGACGCCGACCCAACCCTCGTGCTCTGCCACGCGACGCCGGCCAGCGAGCGCTGCTCGAGCGAGGCGCTGACTGCGAAGCCGGAGCCGGGCGCGCGCGTCGGCGCGGCCGCCCGCTCGAGCGCGCGTTCCAGCTCCGCGCCGCAGACCGCCGCAGCCTCGCAGCTCTCGGACCAGCCCTCGGCAGCGGCGGCCGAAGGCCACGGCCCACGAGCGTCCTCGCGGACGAGGGCGAGCTGCTGGAGCGTTCCGTCGGCGGAGTGGACGACGCCGGCGCTCATCCTCAGGTGGTCGCCGTGGTGGAGGAAGAGCTCGGCGGCGCAGGGAGTGCCCGCCGGGCTCCGCCTCATGCACCACGCGCTCGGCCCTCCGGGCAGCAGCAGCGTCGTCATCTCGGGCGAGGCGGGGTGGAGCATCCCGTGCGGCGTGCTGCAGGCTTCCTCGGTGAGGTGCCACGGGCCGCTCTGCGGACCCTCCGCAACCGTGCCGCGCTCGTCGCGGTAGTGGTACACGACCTGCATCGAGCAGCCTTTTCCCGTCGGCTCAAAGGCCCGCTCCGCATCAAAGACGGAGCGCAGCTCGCCGCTCGGGCTCCAGCGACACCAGAGCGCGTGCCATCGACGCGCCAGCTTGAGGTAGACAAAGCGGCGCCAGTGCACCGCGGCGAGGTCCTCGACTGGCATATATGTGTGTGGCGTGGAGGCGGCCCGAAGAGCGCGGGCATATGCGTTACAGACGATAAAAAAGAATTACCCGGGATAGCCGCCGGCGTCATCGGCGTCACCCATCCCTCCCTTGGGTTGTCTGTTTTCTTTCTTTCTTTATCGGCGTCACCGCCCCCTT